TAAGTACAGGTAACAAGGAGGTAACAAGAGAGGAACAAAGCTTCACTTTAATTTACAACCCTCAAATGTGGTATTTACCCTGTAAGTACAGGGAACAAGGAGGTAACAAGGGAGGAACAAAGCTTCACTTTAATTTACAACCCTCAAATGTGGTATTTACCCTGTAAGTACAGGTAACAAGGGAGGAACAAAGCTTCACTTTAATTTACAACCCTCAAATGTGGTATTTACCCTGTAAGTACAGGGAACAAGGAGGGAACAAATACTGTATTTACCCTTTAACTACAGGGAACAAAGAGGGAAGAAGCTGAACTTTAACATACTAGTGTATACTTGAACACTAAGAACAGAGTAAACTACAGCAGCAGTTTTTATTGAATGAAGACCAAATTACTAGATTTTTCTATAAAGCATCAGCTATACATTTACTGAAATGCAACAGTTAGCCCCCCTGTGCAACAGCAGTAAAGATGCGAGCCTGTTTTAATCTGCATTGAACCCTGACGGTAGGCCTATGTCATGCAAAGTTATTTGTTGATAGTGAGTTATGGAGACATTGATGGCTTTGGTGAGATCGACGAGTAAACATAAGGTAAGTAGTGTATGGAAATATAATTTATATTGAATTGCAGATTTAAAATACATACAGTATACAATAAGGGTTCATAATTTCACAGGTTTTAAACCTTTTATTCATTAAACACCCCATATAAAACCCAAGCACTGAATAAGAGTACTAATGTACTTACGCAGGTGCATATACAGTACATTTGCAGATAGCAATAGATTGTCACCATCCTTGCATAATTCTTTATATGTATACAATACTTGAAGAAATGTACATCGTAAACTTAATATACTTCTTTGCGTGATGGATATCTTATTGTTACTCCCCTTTTACGCGAACATTATGGTTTGTTCTTTTGCAATTTAAAGAAAAGTGCACCGTTATTTCACTGTACTTACGCGGTACCTTTCATGCTGAATATCTGGTTGTTACCCCCTTATTACCCGAGCATTACAGTTTGTTCCCTTATACTTACGTAAACGTTATTTATACTTACACTATAGGTACAGAAATGTACACCGTTATTTCACTGTACTTACGCGGTAATTTTCGTGATGAACATCTGGTTGTTACCCCCTTTTTACCCAAGCATTACGGTTTGTTCCCTCATACCTACACATACGTTCATTATACTTACACAGTACGTGCAGAAAAGTACACTGTAATTTCACTGTACTTACGCGGTACTTTGCGGGTTGTAAAAGAAAGCGTTACCGAATATATTTTGAAGAAAGTTGAAAACCTGTAACCATTAACTTGCAAAGTAGGAAAAACAAATCACTGTGGAAGCCAATGGTTACAGGTTGCCAGCTTTTTGTGTGTTCAATAAAAAAAAAGAACAAGTTTGGAGAAAGTTAAGGGGGAGTAAATGATGACCGAATTTTCTGTTTTGGGTAAACCATGCCTTTAATGCACATTCCCTGACAAAAATTTACGATTTATGTTACTGTAGGGCAATATATCTTTAATTCGTTTGCAATAACTATGTTTACATCTAAAGTTCTGAATTTAAACTAGACACTAAATGTGAGTGTATAATATATACCGTCAAGCTGGAAATTATTCATACCCATGCCAAATACTAACTTATGGTTACTTTTATTCAATTTTTATTTTCTTTTTTTCTAACCGTAAATGACACTGGCTTCTCGCTAAGAATAATAAGACGGTGTACAAGAGGTACAAAAAAATACAACTGCAAATCAGAAAATGTTGGAACAGTATGGAAAATGTAAATAAAAAAAAGATAGGTGATTGTAATTATGATTTGGTACAAAATCATCCCCCAAGAAAATTCTAGGAGCAAAGATGGGCCGAGGATCACCAGTTTGCCTACAAATATGTGAGAAAATTTGTGAAATGTTTACATACAATGTTCCTCAAAGAAAGAGAGGAAGACATGGATATTTCACCTTCAACAGTGCATAACATCATTAAAAGATTCAAGGACTTTTAATGCATATAGGACAAGGGTGCAAGCCTAAGCTGAACTACTATGATCCCTGATCCCTCAGACAACACCGTATCAAGAATCATTCATCTAGAAGCGATATCCCCACATGGGATCAAGACTACTTTAACAAACCTGCCAAGTACCACAATATGTAGTTTCATCCACAAATGCCAGTTAAAACTGTGCTGTGCCAAGAGGAAGCACTATGTTTACAATGTCCCGAAGCGTCGTCAACTTCTCTGGGCTCTGAGGCATCTTGGATGGACAATCACACAGTGGAAACGTACTATAGTCAGATGAATCAGTTCTTCAGGTATTTTTTTTTTTTTTTCAGGACCAAATAAGAAAAGCATCATCCAGACAGTTTCCAGCAACAAGTCCAAAAGCCAGGGTCTTGTCATAGTATGGGGTTGTGTCAGTGCCCTTGGCAAAGGTAACTTGCACTTCTGTGAAGGCATGTTTAATGTTAAAAACTACATAGAGATTTTAGAGAACAACATGCTGCCTTCATTTTCAGGGATGCCCATGCATATTTCAACAAGACAATCCAAAACCACAATCTGCACACATTACAAAGTCGGGCTGTGGAGGAAGAGGATACAGGTTCTTGACTGGCCTGTCTGCAGTCGCAACTTGTCTCTAATAGAGAATGTGTGGTGCATTTTGAAGCGCAAAATGTGACAACGAAGACCCTGTACTGTTGCCCACCTTAAGACTTGACAAAATTACACCTAAAACACTTCACACGAGTAACACATTACATAAAGTTTGTTGTAGTGTCTGCAATATAAAACAATTCAGAGTAAATTTAGAAATCACTACTGTTTTATTTGGATTTACCATACTGTAAACCAAACTTTTTCTGATATGGGGTTGTGGAATTTTATATTACCTATAGCCGTAAAACCTATACTATAAAAACTGCTGGGTTATTTAAAGTATGGACTAACCCAAACAATGGGTTAAATTAGATCCTATTTGATTGTATTTTCAAAAATGAACCCAGCAGTTGGTCCGTATTGCACCCAGAATTGGGTTGAAATAACCCAGCATTTTTTAGAGTGTAAGACTGGTTTGTGGTCCAGGATCAAATATCATTATAAAAACTTGGAAATACTACAATAATGTAATCTTATTGCTTACACTGATTTGCTTTTAAATGTCTTTGTGTGTTTTTGGTTTTTCTCCTGTAACATATTCAAAATTCTTTGGAGAAATGGTTTGAATCTGGAATTTAACCAAATCTGCAAATAATTGCACACCTTGCTTAGAACATACAGTACATCCACCAATCAGCATCAAGCTTTCAACATCCCCCACAGAATGCTATAATTAAAAATAAATACTTCATATTGTAACTTCCAGTTTAAAATGCCATGCGTCTTTCCCAAACCCACTGTGGGTTACTCCAACCTACAATTTTCACCTCACGCTGGAAAATCCATAGCGAAATACCCTGATACCTCACACTAATCTGCAACTTTGATTCACTCCATTAAAAGCTGAATGAAGCTTTATGAAAGGCATCAATTGAATAAGAGTTGGAGAGTAAATATTGTTCTCCTCCATGTGAACGGTGAAGAGCGTAGGTGGATGCAGCTTGTTTTACAATGTTTTTTTTTTTTTATTGGCACTGACTCATGGCGTAACGCTGCCAGGGCATAACACCTGTTAAATGCTTACCAGGTGCAGAAACAGGCCTCTGTTGTTTCCAATTGGTTACTAAGATTCTACTGCTTGAACAATGAATCTAAATGATTAATTTTTCTTATTAACGACAGCTGCTGTCATTTCAACATCAAGATAGTATGTTCGTATTAAAAAAGCCAGCTGTGAGCTCTCAATTGTCTGATCATTCATCACGAAACAATAAAGCCCATGGGTTCTTTATTTACAATGGCAATAGCAGAGTTGAGGATATTTTTCATATATACGATATTGCCGGCAGAACCATGTAAGACGACAGGGCTTGAGAAATGACAGACCTAAACATCTCAGACACCTCACATCTACTTCCAAAACCGCTTGATTTCTCTTTCATACGCGCCCGCAGAAAAGCCACTTCCAGCCACTAATAACATATTACATGGCAATTTAATATTGTGGGGTTTTAGAAGTCATTACGGTACAGCTCATGTTATACCTTCATAACTAAAAACGTGAAATGACAGGAATATTTTCACAGCGAGTGAAAGAATGAGACGGGGTAATTACAGTCAGCTAAAACTAAAATCAAAACTGTTAATGTTAACTGAAAAAAAAACATGTAAATGCAAAGGAAATAGGTTTTATTTCTGTTAACTTGTTGAACTAAAATAAAAAAATAAATTACATTTATTAATTTAATATAAATGAATTTGTTAAATTTAATTTATAAAAAAAATTGAACAAATAAAATTGAAAACAAAACTAAAAATAAAAACAAAATAGTAATTAAAAACTTAGTAATAATAAAAAATTATAGAGTGCCAAATTGAATTATTATCATGAACTATTTTGTTAACTAAAAAAATTCTTTTTAAAAAAATGTAGCGTTGCCTTGGGAATTAACTGAAAGTTTAAGCTGATGTGCCAAAATTACTAACGAAAAAACAAATAACTAAAGCTAAACATATGCTAATCTTTATATATAAACAAAGAAAGCTGAATATATGAATAAATAAATAATAATAAAAGAAAGAAATACAAAATCATCAGTTTCATGAGCACGTCAATGAGTAGCATAATATTTGATTAATGTGCAAATGAAAACCACAATTTTAAATACAAAACCTTTTCCACCACTTAAATGTTCATTTCCATTTATCCTGAGATTAATAAATAAATAAAAATTAATGTAACAATAATTCTTACATCTTAAAAAAATAGGAATATGTATCTGATTAAATCTGAAACTACTATTTAAACAATCAAAAACATTATCAAAAATGTTACCAAAATCTATAAGAGTATTTAATGAAGTAATAGTAAAAAACAGGAAAACTCTCCAAATATTTATTGAGTGAACATTTACTCACCCTCACAATGTATGAAGCATTTGTAACTTTCAACTTTCAGTGAACACAAAAGAAATGAACACACATTTATAAATGACATCATAAAGACTTATTCAAGCGTTTTATTTACCATTTTGAAACTTGACAGCCTCGGTCTTTGTTAATCTTTGGTTGGGGAGAGTGAGGACAGTTGCAAGACCTTTTGCATTTCCTTCAGTTTCTTAGAGACAGTTTTTTTGTGGAAACCCAAAATTTTAATACAATAAATCCACATCTATTGGACACCCACCCGCATTATGTCTACATATGACAATATATGCAGCAATTTAAACTTGAACAGACAAAGTAAAATGTGGCAACTGACCCCAAGCAGGGGGACGGTTGCAACAACCCACAGGGACAGTTGCAAAATTTATTAAAATGTAATATTAATAATACATGAGGTTGGATTTTTATATATATTTTTTTTTTGGTAAACAGACAATGTTACTTGGTTAAATTGGCCTTATAAATACAGACTAATAAAAAAAAACAAGCAACAAACAATTTTCAGGCCTAAAAAAAACTGAACAAACTTATTTTTTTACTGAAAATCTATAGACTTAACCTTTACTAACATACTTCTTTGAACTTTGAAAAGAATTAATTAATCTAATAATTAATTCTTTCTAATAAATCACATTAAAACTGTGATAAAATTAAAACTGTACATTGTTATTATGGCAAGCTTTTAAATTAATTTTGCAACTGGAACAATATGTTTCAACTGTCTCAACTCTTGTCAACCCTAAATGAAACTGTCTATGCTAGGGAGATACAATAGCTTTAAGGTTTCATAGCTATACCAATTTAAAACTAAGAAAACGATGATTAAAATTATTATAATTAATAATATTTCACAAAAAAAAAAGATTAGACAGTGTGAGAAATTTTCTGAACATTAAAAAAAATTACCTAAAATGAGTTTTATACTGAAGGAATCTTCACATATGGCTGATTTCTCTCAGATTGAAGGAGGGTCTAACTAAAAATATGTAACAATAGTATGAATATCATTATTCTAGCTCATACCTGAATGGAGCAATACGTCTTGTTGCAACTGCCCCATGTTTGCATCTCGCCAACTTAAAAAAAATAAGGTCAATATTCTTCAAACACTACAGCTTTTGTGCTTCACTGACAAAGGCACACAAGTAGGGTGAGAAAGTAACGTTACTGGCAGAGATGAATTTGTAAAGTTTCTGTCTATGAAGTAACTGGAAACTCCACCTGGGTCTGCCCTGCATTTGCTAGCGAGCCAAAAACTGAGATCAGCGAGAGTTCAGGGGCAGTCTTCGGGTTGTATGAGGACACAGAGAGAGCAAAAGCTGGAGAAGAACCTGTGTTTTAATGCAGAACAGACCTGGTTTTGCTTCTACTCGCTGTTAACAGACAAATCACAGCGTCCGACCGCAGAGAAGAGGAGGCCTGGAGGTTCACAAGAGACGTGGTCTGGATAATGAGGCACTGTGGTTCCTCAAATAGGAGTTGATCAAGTCAGTGATATCAAAATCAAATGTCACTGAAATCCAGGCAGTGACAAGGTAAGTGCTGGAATGCTTTTAATATTTCAGCTCAAATGAGCGATTGTTTCCGTCTCCTCATCTGGTGGTCCTCGCATTACCTGAATGACCGCAGCGCCATCTTGTGGATTGATAGAATCTTTCCTTACTTTAGGTTTGGGAGCTAAAATTGAGGAAAGCATTAGTTTCATAAACATGACATTTAGTAAAACCAGGGTGCGAATTACAGGGGGGTTTGGGGATGTAAATTTAGCAATCAGAAACCTCTTTTTTAGTGGTACTTAAAAAACTAGACATTTACATAAATACCCTTAAGGAGAGCACAAACAAAAAAGCTGTTAAGTGTGTTTGTTTGACACGTAAGTTATTGTGAGTTATCAAGGCCTAGCATTATTTGTATTATTTGTTTTCTTTATTATTGTATATTACCTATTGAGTTTTTTTACTTCTATAGAATTTTAATATGCTTTTCATATTTTTTGTACACCTCTGGCACTGTTTAGTACAGTATTTGTTGTTTATAAAAATAAATAAATAAATACAGGGGGGTTTGGGGGGGATTGAACCACACTAATTAATCCTTGATCCCCCTCTGAAGGACGTCAAAACAGCCCTTTAATAGTGAGAAATAGTTTGCTCTGATCTGTATTTTAACTAATAATATTAATAATTAAAAAAATAGATATTATAAATGCACATTTGATCACCCCTATAACGGTTCATACCAGTGTGGAAAATATTCATTTAACAGTCTGAAACTGCAGATGTAGACCACTGATAGACATCCTAAGTGTTCAAAAGACTGTTTTCTGCTAAAATAGGAGTTTGTTTCTACATAAAAGTCAAATTAGATGCATAGTTTGTATGATTTTACCTACATAAACTTATTAATTAGCTAATCAGAGGATACTGTAGGGCAGAATACACTAAATATCCATAACAAAACTTGTGCTTAAATATGCTTTTATTAATAAATTAGATGTCATACATTCATAAGTTTGATTCAATGAAGCATGTATCACACAAACTAACACTACCAAAACAGTTAACCCCCTCGATGGTCAATGTATAATTCGCACCCTGAGTTGAATATTTGATTACTGACATACCAGTTTAACACACATATTAACACTGATTAATACAGTGCCTATAAAAAATCATACCCCTGTGAAATAATTACTCTATTTGTCATTAAGCCTGAAATCAAATCACATTCTAAATAACTTTTGCAGCTTTTGAAATGTTTTTGTAGCCTTCTCCTTTGTAGCCTTTTATAGTCAAAATTATTAGCCCCTTTAAGCTATTTTTTATGACTGTTTACAGAACAAACCATTGTTATACAATAACTTGCCTAATTACCCTATCCTGCCTAGTTAACCTAATTAACCTAGTTAAGCCTTTAAATGTCACTTTAAGCTTCATAGAAGTGTCTTGAAAAAGATCTAGTCAAATATTATTTACTGTCATCATGGCAAAGATCAAATAAATCAGTTATTAGAAATGAGTTATTAAAACTATTATGTTTAGAAATGTGTTAAAAAAAATTCTCTCCGTTAAACAGAAATTGGGGAAAAAATAACCAGGGGGGCTAATAATTCAGGGGGGCAAATAATTCTGACTTTAACTGTATATTGGCAAATTAAGGGCTTTATGGCCACAGGGGGCATTTGGCATTTATCAAAATATTTGGCTTTCAGCAGCACCGCTAAACCAGAAAATAATGTTGTAATTGAGTATCAGTAACTGAATTGCTTTCATTAATATATTCAACAATTATTGGATCATTTTCTCTTTATAGATACCAGTGTTTGCATTAGGGCATGTCAATGAAAATATTAATGGGCACATACAGTATGCAATAAAAACTTTTCCTGCTTACCGTTTGGGTTTTCTTGTTTATAAAAAGTCTTGAGCATTTCAACAGCTTCTTCCGCTCTATAGCCTGCGATGCACTGTAATAAGCAAATAAGCATGTGCTACAGTGAAAATATGCAATGCGGTCTGGACTAAAATCTGGGGAATGTGAAAGTTTTGACAAGAAAAATACTCTAGCCACAGTGAATGAAAGAAGACAATGCAGAATTTAAGCAACTGACTTTTTTTTAGATCTGATCACAAGCTGCAATTTGACCTGAACTGGACAGGATTTGGAGGGAATTCTATTACCTTAAATGAAGTTCCAGTATGTGGTAAATGATCTGACGAGACGTCTAATACAGAGCCACAGCCTCCGAACCTCTCATTTTTACACCCATAAACAACAAAAGGTATGCCTGTGTAACTGTTAAGGTGCCTTTTAGTGATCGCATGAAAAAAAATGGGGAAAACAAAACATGTAAGACTTTTTATTTATATTAATATACAAATGTACATATTTATATACATTTACTCATAAAAATGTTACCAAGTGTTAGGACAATTTATTTTAATAAATGTTTTACATAAATAAAAAAATAAATAAAGTAAAATAACATTATTATTTATAAAAGTATTAATTTATAAAAGTATTATTTATGAATAAATACATTTAAAAATATACTAAAGTAGAAAACAGTTATCATTCATTCATTTTCTTTTTGGCTTAGTCCCTTTATTAATCTGGGGTTGCCACAGCGAAATGAACCGCCAATAATAATAATATTATTAATAATAATAATTCACTGTGTTTAGGCCTGTCACAATAATCAATATATTAACTTATCACCAACACATGGACATCAGAATTTTTGATGATGCAATATATATCGCCCATACATAAAAACAATTCTGGCAACACTTTAGCTGATTGTGCAACATTTTTATCTCTATTGAAGGTGTCAGTATGGTTAAAAACACTGTAGCATTTACTCTAAATGACTTTAGTATATTTTCATGTTGGTGTCTGACAATTGAAAATAGATAGGTAGCAGATATCGCAGCCCCAGTTACTTTTTACCTTGTAATTTTTTTGTTGAAATGTATTATTATTTATTTAAGGTATGCCTTTTTACATTCTGATTCCAATGCCTAATTAATAAATTGTAAAAATGACTATGAATAATTAAATATTCTTTTGAATTGCTCTTTGGCAGAGTGTTCTTGCATTGTGATGATATTATATTTTCATTCTGGCATTACATAATGAGTGGCATAAAATGGTCTTAAAATCAGGTCATTAGATCATTTATCGCAATATATTTTGGTGCAATATCCCGTACAACAAGAAATAGATATTGTGACAAATCTAACTGTGTTTTTAGTCATATAAATGAATCCTCGCTGAACATAAGAGAATTTTAAAAACTCTACAAATCTTAGACAGTACTACAAAACTGAATACTTATAAGTGCATGTGTAACTTTATAAACCAATAGTAAAGGGGTTGGAAGGATACGAAGCAAGCGCAGAGCAGCTGCACACATGATACACGGCTCCACTGTCACATAAAGTACGGTCTGTTCACACACCTCCTTACAGTCCTTCTCTCTCAAACGACACCAATCCAGCACTTGATCCAAGGCCACCATTTCCGCATGCCGAGTAGCCTTGAGCAAAGCAGGCACAGATGACAGGTTGTTTCATTGTTTCCAAAGATTTTCTGTTCTCTACTAGAAAGAATCATTAATCCAAGTCTAAACATGACTGTAATATATGGGTCAACTGCAAATAAGGATGTCTGAGCAAAAAAAAAAAAAGAATTAATTCATGTTGAACTGCAAGGCTTAACTCTTAGAAAAGTACATTACCACTAAACTAAAACATAGCAAAATATTTTATACACCTTTAAATTAATGCACATATCCGGACAAATTTGATCAATAAGATCTTTTTTATTAGATTTATTTTTAATAATCTAAAAAAAAATGAGACTGTTTTGACACAAAAATAGGTCACACTTTACAATAAGGTTTCATTAGGTAATGTATTTACTAACATGAGCTAATACTGAACAATTTTAGTGCAGCATTTATTAATCATAGTTCAACATTTACTAATACATTATTAAAATCCAAATTCATGCTTGCTAACATTACATAATGTACTGGGTGAATTAACATGAAATAACAATGAACAACTTTATTTTCTTCAACTAATGTTAAAAAAAAGATGAATAAATGCTGTAAAAAAATATTGTTTATTGTTTGTTCATGTTAGCAAATACATTAACTAATACAACTATATTGTAAAGTGTTACCAAAAAATGTAAACATTTAAAGGGACAGTTAGTTCATCATTTAAACCACACGTTTTTGTGAGCACAAAAGAAGATATTTTGAAGAATGTTGGAAACAAATATTATGGAAGTCAATGGCTACCATTTTCTAACATGTAAAATTTCAACATATTTTCCATATTAAACATATCTTTTATTGTGTTTCACAGAACAAAAAAAAATTGACATTGACATTTTTGGTTGTAAATTAAAAAAAACTATTCCTTTAAATTCTGAAATCGAAAAAAAAAACATGCCAATTGATACTAGGCATGGGACAATACCCATTTCAAGGTATATCATGGTTTAGAAAAGTCAAGGTTTTAAAACCGACAAAATCTTCTGTAATACCGTTCCTAAGGTATGTGTAAGATTTTTTACTTTTTTAAGATTGTTTTTTTTTTTTTAAGGACAACAGTATCTCCAACAGAAAAAAACCACAAAAATGCCATTTTGAATTGTTAAGATTTTTTTTTTACCCAGACATTTAAAATATATATTTTAGAGCAGTAATCACAATACTGTGATATTGTGAAACCGTGATATTTTTATCCAAGGTTATCATACCATCAGAATTTTATACCGGCCCATGTCTAATTGATCCCTACTGTAAGTGAGCCACTATGTTTATGCAATTCTGATTAAACACTAAATAACTCAAAACACTAACTAATCTGAAAATTAAGTTTGATTCATTATAATCTATAGATACAAACTGAAGAACAGTTATTGTCAGACAGATTAAAATAAATGCTTTTTTCTTACAATTTCAATAACCAGAAGTCAAATTTTTTATTTTTTACAATCAGGGTTATTTTGAATCCACTTACATTTTTGGTTTCATTCACTTCATTCCTTCCCTTTCCAATAATCTCATTGTTGTAAACCATCAAACAGCCAACAGGAACCTCACCGTTTTCAAGAGCTTCAACTGCCTGTAAAGGAAATTAATGTGTTTACTATTTTCTCAAAACAATCCTAAATACACCACAAAATTTCACAAAGAAAATTAAAATAACATGGGATATAAATAAGTTATAACAAGACGCTGTGATATAGACCATTTTGACAAAAACAATGGTCCCAGCGTATTTCCTGTTTAACATTTTTAATTTCTATAGGCCAATTACCAACCTACGTCACCCATGACATCACACGGGTCCCCGGTTGCAAAAAAAAGAGGCTGCAATGGGAAAGATGTTGTGTTGTGCTGTAGGATGCCGAATTCGAGTTCAAAATCAGAAAACTAAACTTATACCATAAACCAAACACTGCTTTGATACCGAATGCAGACGTCTTTGGCTAAATGGGAGCTGAATGAAGTGAGGAGCTAATTAGAAATGCTGGACTCTGCAGTTCTCATATCATATCAGGTCAGTTCACGCTATGCTGAATCATACACATTACTCGTTTTTGATTGCAGAAACGACTTCAGCAAAAACAGTTACATATGGTTAATTAAACTGCGGACACTGAATGCTAAGAATGAAACTTGAAAGTTATGTTTATTAAGGTAAACTTAGTTTTATATTCACGCATTCATTCAGTGACAACTTGTGACAAACTCCCTATATTGTTTACCACGGCACTCTGAATATTCGTTCTGAAATAACCTGCAAGTGTGACTTGAAAACAACATTAGCACTGTTTATTTGACTGTGAACAATGTTGTATATTGATAGTCATTGGCTGCTGCTAATATGATTTCGCTATTTACAGTTTACAAATAATATTTTTATGAAATTATATTATTAAAGAGAAAGTCTGAATGTGCAAATATAAAACCAACTTTACCTTTATGTGTTCACATACCCTGCCGTACAGGTGAAGTTCACTGTCAGAATGCAGTCGTTTTGCGTGTTGGTGATTAATTACCCAGGCCTTGTATAATGTTAGCTCCGTCTTGTTTGCTTGTCTTTGGCTGAGCAGAATCTCGGTTTTTAGCTCTATACAGTGTTGAATCTGGTCATCATGGAGCATTATTTCTTGCACATGACCACAAAGAACAACATTGTTGGCATCCAAAGACTTGTAGACCTTTAACTTCTCTCTTGTAAAATCACTTGGAGCTTCAATGAGATTGTATATTTCGGGCTGGATGCTTGGTCACTTCGTCTTATCCAATATTCATTGGGAGGGTGCTATCGCAAATGGACCTGTCAGATAAACGCCTCTCACTTTAACGTTAATTTTGCCAAATCACTGTGCTTGTCACTGGGTGACGAGCTGTTATAATATACTGAAAGCATTATGTAAATAATATATATAATGTGTAAGTAATACATTTTATTTCTAAGACAACAACAAACTCTGCACCGCATCTGATGTCATTCCCTCGCTGTAAATGCTGGCAATCCCGTTTTTTTCTGCCACCTCCCTGCGCGCGCATCCTGAATGTTTACAAACATGGTAATTGGTCTATAGCTTCTGAGAATCCAAAAAGAGCCACATATTGATAAATAATGTTGTGATAGCTGTTTTACATTAAGGTCTGATTGAATTGCCTCTTGTTACAGTTATGAAATAGTTTGATAACAAGCAGGAAATGTTCACGGGCCAATGACATGAACACATTGAAATGGTCTTCATAGAAAATAAATAATAATTTGCATATAACAATACACACAATAGTTTTTCTCTTTCAAAGACAAGTGACAATTATTCTTTGGAAAAAAAACTATTTTAAAAATACTGTAATTAGTATTAATATCTTTCTTAAAGCATATTTTAACTTGACCAAAACAAATGCAACGAGTTAAATTATTGTGATTTCACAGTAACTATAACTTTGTACTGCAATAACTAAAAGAGGATATGACAGTAGGCATGATGAATACTGAAAAAGAAACATTAAGGGTAATGTAAAGTTGGTTTTACATTGGTACATTTGTTTAGTGCCAACTCGTGACACGATCCCTATATTGCTTACCATGGTATTTTTCTTATTCTGTGTGAAACCACATGTAAAAAGGACTTAAGAACAACATTAGCACTATTTGATCGACTGTGAGTGAGCACTGTTGTGCTCTGATAGTCATTGGCTGATGATATTCATTTATTCATTTTCTTTACAGCTTAATCCCTTTATTAATTAGGGGTCGCCACAGTGGAAGGAACCACCAACTCATCCAGCATATTTTTACGCAGGTGATGCAACCTATTGCTAGGAAACACCCATACACTCATTCACAGACAAACACTCCAGACAATTTGGCTTACCAAATTCACCTACAGCATGTCTTCTGACTTGTGGGGGAAACCAGTGTTGTGCCGAGAAATACACCGCTGACGCAAAATGCATTCCCTCATAGACTTTCATTAACATTCTCAGTCAAAATTCTTTTTTTTTTTTAATCTAAATTGATTAAAACATAAAATTATTATTATGATGGATAAAACAAGGACAAGAAGTTAAGCACATTTTAAATGCGCTAGGTTAACAAATAAATGTAAAATAATAGTAATGACTGTAGTGTGGCCTAAAATTTGGCTTTTTGGTGGGCTTTAAACAGACATTTAGGTAACATGGAACACATAAAATTGTTGTTGCTGGTTTAAACTAAACCACCCATTACACAATTTACTTAATCTCATCGGCATTGTATTTAAAGTGAGTTTATTGATCTATTTATCCATGTATCTTCTCTATGGGAAGGGTTCCATTAATGAAACTCAACTCAGTCACTCTCATTGTTGTCATAACTCTAGTACTATTATTGTTTTAATCAATTTTAGTTAATAGATGAACATTTCAGATGGAGTGAATTTTAGGGCAGGGGTGCGCAACCCGGTGTAGCAGTCAAGTCTGTTCCCTTCTGGAATTCCAGTTCCAAAAGCAAAGTGGTTCTAAAAGTACGTATTTTTTCCGCGAACACGGGGAGAACGTGCAAACTCCACACAGAAACGCCAACTGAACCAGCGACCTTCATGCTTGTGAGGCAACAGCACTACCCACTTTAATTTATATTATAATAAATTATATTATTAAGGGAAAAATTCAGAATGTCCTAATATAAAACCAACTTTACCTCAATAAAAGAAACGTTTAACACCAAAGAAGCTTTACCATATCAAACGCCTTTGCCATCCATGTTTGTACCTCACTATCTGAGGGCTGCAGAAAATCATTCTTCTCGGGATCAACACCGACTTCTTGCATCCCTATATACGTGTCAATAACAAACTTGTAAGCGTACAAATAAAGTAAAGTCAGCACAAATATAAAAAACAACAGCGTTTTCCCTGCACGTGTTTACGGAGGACTGTAATAACCGATGGACACCTCAGGGTGGTGAACAGACCGAGTAATCGATCGACCGAATAGACTCTATCTGTTATCTGCAGTTAGCCTGTCTGCAGCTAACATGAGAACTTATTGCCATGTAGCATTGTGCTAGCTAGTGAGTTACGTCTAAACCCGCTCTTGCTTCTCTTATTTCTTTTCATTTTCGGTGTCAAGTCTGTTAAAATGTTGAGTTCTACATGGAATTTCATCAAACGCCATAAGAGGAAATTCATCTTCACTGGGGTGTTTGTTGGAGGTAACTAACGTGGGCAACTGAACCTCATCCATGCATACATATCAGTGACTGTTCACTAGCTGTAACTATTTCTTGTTTTTAATAAAATACTTGTAGCTATAGCATGTTAATATGATGTGATGTGTAGTTTAGCGTGTTATTACAGTGTTGACAACCATTATATATTTTTTCCACATTCAGCCCTTCAATCTCAGTTCACCTGTCACCTAGTTTTTCTATTGGCATAGTCAAATCAAAGTTGAAATGGACTTTACCCTGGAATTTTTAGTCAACAGAAAGGCTTTATTTAACTGAATAGTTCTTGCTTGCAGCATATCACTTTGTTAACATGGATGCTATACTATATTGTAATCTCAAACTTTTTATTTGCAGGTGTTTATCTGCTTGGTAAATATGCACAGAGAAAAATTCAGGAGATGCAGGAGCGAGAGGCAGCTGAATACATTGCTCAAGCTCGGAGACAGTTTCATTTTGAAAGCAACCAAAGGACATGCAACATGACAGGTAAACTAAATACCGCCATAACTGATGTTTATGTTGTTATAATTATTTATGGAGTATGTAATTTGTTTTTTGTAGTGTTATCAATGCTCCCCACTCTCCGAGAGGCAATCATCCATCACCTGAACTCAGAGAGTCTCACTGCTTTGCTGAAGACTAAGTGAGTTATGCACGTGTGTGTGTGTGTGTGTGTTTGTGTGTGTGTGTGTGTGTGTGTGTGTGTGTGTGTGTGTGTGTGTGTGTGTGTGTGTGTGTGTGTGTTGTAGAAGCTTAACTACATTATAAATGTAAAAGAATATAAATGACGCAAGTGATCATGTCTTTCTCTACAGGCCAGCAAATAAACTTGAAATCTGGGAGGATCTAAAGATTATAAGTGAGATTATTTCTCATTTTTATGTAGTTTGTCATATATTGTTTTTTTCATTCATTCATTTTCTTTTCGGCTTAGTCTCTTTATTAATTAGAGGTTGCCCCAGCAGAATGAACCGCCAACTTATCCAGCATATGTTTTACACAGTGGATGCCCTTCCGACTGCAACCCAAGACTGGAAAACATCCATACATCCTCATTCACTAGATACACTATGGCCAATTTAGTTTATGCAATCTTGCTACCCACTGCACCACTGTGTCGCCTATTGGTTTTTTTTTTTTTCATTCAGTCATTTTCTTTCAGCTTAGTCCCTTTATTAATCAGGGGTTGGCCCAGCGGAATGAACCGCCAACTTATCCAGCATATGTTTTACGCTGAGGATGCCCTTTCAGCAGGCAACTTAGTACTTGAAAACACTCATCATACACTCTGACATGCACACATACACTACAGCCAATTTAATTTATTCAATTCACCTATAGCACATGTCTTTAGATTGTGGGGGAAACTGGAGCACCCTGAGGAAACCCACGAGAACATGAGGAGAACATGCAAACTACACACAGAAATGCCAACTTACCCAGCCAGGGCTCGAATCCTCAACCTTCTTGCTGTGAGGCGATCATGCTACCCACTGCGCCACTGTGATGCCCTATTGTTTTTATTGAGAATAAATATTTTGTATATAGCAATTGAATTTATTTTGTTTATGAACAGTAAAATTACAGTAAAAATGTTGACATTTCAATTCACTCATTCCTTTTAAAATTTAATATAATTGAATATTTTTTTTTATTTTACAGAATTTCCTTTTTAACATTCTCAATCAAAAAATCTTAAAAATAATAAATAACTTTTTTTCAAAGAAATTGAATATCAGAGTGAGCTAAATTGTCAATTGTATTCAAGTAGTAAACAGTTGTAGTAATAATTGAAACTTTTTTTTTTAAGTACAATGTAGCAAATTCCACTGACATCATGTGGGTTATTAAAAAATGACTAATAGATATTAAAGCATTGTCTAGGCTCAATTCTACTATGAAACACCCACTATTGACAATCAGAATAATTCACACCCTACAATTCTGGGAATCTTCTGTTTTACAATACATCACATTCAAGAATTAAAATACGTCATGACCAGAAATTCTGCTGAAATCTCAACCATGCCTTTTAGCAATGTTTAAGCTTAATTTGCACAAACAATTCCAGGAGGATAGGTTCTGCTATTGTTTTCAATTAATTAATTAAAGCGTGGTGTTGGAATATTTAATCAATTCCATGCGTGTTCAATAAAAAAGGTTAGGTTTTTCTTTAAGGTTTAACATATTAGCAATTTAATGCATACAACTGAATAATTTGATTTACAGAATTCTGTTATCCTCAATGCAATGCAAAAATTACATTCAGGATGTGCGCACAGGTTTCATTTCCTGACTTCAACTTATATAGGCAGCTGATATTAACAGGTGGAGTTTAATGGAATTTTTCACTTGTCAATCATTCTCCAGTCCTCCAATTTTAGACTATCAGGCCTGTGCTTCATCTACTTCTGCAAAAATGTTTTATTGGTATGCAAAGCAAATCACACTCATAAAAAAGTTCAGGTAATATTTGACCTTTAAGCAATACAAATACAATTGTTTAATGAAAAGAAAAAAAAGGCAAAAATGTTTACAATTTTTCCCAGACAGTATCCATACTCTCATCTTTTATAAGTTGAAGAGAAGTTGATTCATTAATGTATTGCAAAATTAAGTGTAACAACTTGTAACGGGGTGGCAATGTGGCTCAGTGGTTAGCACTGTCGCCTCATAGCAAGAAGTTTGCTGGTTTGAGTCACGGCTGGGCCAGTTGGCATTTCTGTGTGGAGTTTGCATGTTCTCCCTGTGTTTGCATGGGTTTCCTCCAGATCCTCCGGTTTCCCCAACAGTCCAAAGACATGCACTATAGATGAACTGAATAAGCTAAAATAGCTGTAGTGTATGTGTATGAATGGGTGTATGGCTGTTTCCCAGAACTGGGTTTCAGCTGGAAGGGCATCCGCTACGTAAAACATGTTGGAATAGTTGGCAGTTCATTCCGCTGTGGTGACCCCTGTGAAATAAGGGACTAAGCCGAATTAATGGATAAACTTGTAATGGCCACCTTTAGACCGCTTCTCATTGCCACTTTTGACTTTTAAAAATAGCCAATATTAGGCCTAGGTTCAGTCGTTTTAACAACACTAAGACTGAAATCCAATAATTATGACATTTCGGAATGCTGCTCCATTCCTTTTTCTAAAACACCCATCTCTGTGTTCAGGTTTTACCCGCAGCATTGTAGCCGTTTACAGCACCTGCATGCTGGTTGTGTTACTCAGAGTTCAGCTCAACATAATCGGTGGATATCTGTACCTAGATAACTCTGTGACGAAAAATGGAATGGTACGTCAGTTTTTTTAACAGCATAGCAATCCGATTTTATCATGTTGAAGCACATGAACATTTAATTTCTCTCATGCTCCAATTTTAGACCCCCTTAGCACCACCTGATGTTCAACAACAGTATCTTTCCAGTATCCAACATCTTCTTGGAGAAGGTGAGGACAATGTCAGATCTGTATAAGAGCGTATAATCTGTACTACAGGTTAATCCTCTGTTTGCACATATCCCCTGTAGCTGACACTGATGTTTGTTTTGTGTTTTTTAGGGCTCATGGAACTGATAACTGTGGTCAAGAAAGCTGTTCAGGAAGTTTTTGGACTGTATGTTGAGTAATTGATTTGAGAATTAATTTGAATCTACTCTATTGGCGAGTGCAGCCATCATGTGGTGACAAAATTGTATGTTTATCAAGAGAGAAAACTACTGTCCGTGTCTCCTCAGGGTGTCTCTGAAGCAGAGTTTGTCTCTACAAGAGCTGGAGCAACAGTTGACACAGATCAGACAGTTAGTGGAGGACGACTCCTCTAAATACAAAAGTCTTTCCTGGTACATGATGCCTGATGAAGAGAACACACTTGCCTCACAGGTAGATATATATGATATAATTTATACATAATTTCTTAATTGCATACAGTTGAAGTCAAAATATTTTTTTTAACAGAGCAAGAAATTTTTCATATATTTCTTATACATATAGAGATTTTTTTTTTCTGGAGAAAGTCTTATTTGTTTTATTTATTACCCTAACTTGCCTATTTAAACTAATTAGTCTAGTTGAGCCTTTAAATTGCACTTTAGGCTGAATATGTACTGTCATCATGGCAAAGATAAAATAAATCAGTTATTACAAATTAGTTATTAATCTAATGTTTAGAAATTATGTTTATTATATTAAATTAATAAATTATGTTTAGAAATGTGTTGATTTTTTTCTCCATTAAACAGAAATTGGGGGAAAAATATACAGGGGGGCTAATAATTCAGGAAAGCTTCAACTGTATATAATGCATTCATTCATTTTGTTTCTGGGTCAAAGCTGTTTGATTTTGTAATCCATGTATAATTACAATAAAAAAATGACCAATTTAAATGTAATATATACAGGAAGCATATTAAATGCAAGTAAGAGCTTTACTTAAATGTTTCTTTGATGGTGTCTACTTAAATGTCTCCAATAATTTTTGTAAAACTAAAATGTCATTGGGTAAAATAATATTCTATTGTCATTTAGCCTAACAGATGTATTTATTAATCCCTCCAGGATTTTGCAGTGATTTATTTTCTTTTTATATCTGCAACCTAAAATTAATGGTTTTGTGATTGTAATTCAAAAAAAGTCTTAAGCATTATTTCCTTTAATATGTGTGTTTTGCTGTGAAAATATACACAAATGTTTTATTTTTTATTACATTTATTTTTCTTTTTTGATCTCAAGAACCACTGGATCTCAAAATCCTGAATGCACTGATTTGTGTAAAAATAAAACGATATTATTGTTCTGACCATTACTGATTACAATGTATTATATACAGTATATATATATATATATATATATATATATATATATATATATATATATATATATATATATATATATATATATATATATATATATTGTAATCATTGAGCATCAAATTGGCACATTAGTGTAATTTCCGAATGATCGTATAACACTAAAAACTGTATTGATGATAAAAATGACATTTTATGTTTCTCTGTTTATTTATTCCTGTATAATGACATTTTTTCTAGGCCTGTGGTCTCACAGAGAATGATGTCACAACGATAAAGCTACTAAATGAAACCAGAGATATGCTGGAAAGGTGAGGAAAAGGAGTACTTGCACTAATCAGAGATCACTAAAACAATCTTTTGAGCACCAGGTACTAATTGCTCCACAACTTCTACTTCTTTTTTCAGTCCAGACTTCAATATTGTTCTTCACACTTGCTTGAATCGAGGATTTGTCAGATTTCTAGACAACATGGCAGAGTTTTTCCGACCCCCGCAGAGAGACTCCACTCCCTCCAGCACACCTGACCAGTCAGTGGACATGCTTTTCATTTCATTGAGAAAAATGACTGAGTGGACATGGTTAATAATAATAATAATTATTGGGGCACTTAAAAGGTTTATTTACAAAGGTTTCAGGGAACAACATAAGCTTAAGTAAATAAATTGTAAACATTTAAAGGTAATTCTGGCTTCTCTCATAATTCTGGATTGTGAGAAAAAACATCATTACATTGTGAAAACAATTACAAGTTAGAAGCTCAAGCTTTAATTGTGCCATGCAGAATTTACATTTCACATTTTTATTCTTTATCATTTCATTTTTAACTTCACACAGTCTTGGTTCTGAATTCTGAATTTGCATCTCAATTCTGACTTATTTTATTTTACACAGATCAGATTTTTTCCGTAATTCTGAATTTACATCTCACATTATCCCATAAAAGGATTGGTCAGCCATAAATTCTGTCATTATTTACTGACTGTTTACTTGTTCCAAACCTGTTTGAGATTGTATTTGTTGTGTTGAACACAAAAAAAAAGATTTTTTGAAGAATGTTAAAAACCTGTAACTATTTACTTCCATAGTATTTGTTTTTCCTACTATGGAAGTCAACAGTTACAGGATTTTAGGGTGCTTTCACACCTACACTTTTGTTTCGTAACGTGTCTCGTTTGCCCAGTTACCGCGGTTCGTTTGGCATATGTGAACAGGGCAATCACGCTCTGTTCCGCGCCAAAGTAATCGCTCCGTGATCGCTTGAATGAGGTGGTCTCGGCTCGATTGAAACGAACCCTGGAGCGGTTCAATTACAGTGAGAAAGCGATTCGATCTGAGCGCGGTTTTATCACAGTGTTTTATGGATATGTAATAGGCATACGGCGATATGAAGAGAGAATTATGAGTATGGCGGGAAGTTTCCCGAGTCTCCGGATGCCCGCAAACGAGTGATGATCTCCCGGTAATCTTGCATCTCCCTCCCTGTCCTCAAATAGGCTACATCGCGCACCCTTCTCACCCCTCCCCACTGCATCTCTCCTCAGACACATCGCGCGCGCACCCTGTCAATCACCACCAAACCCCCACCTCTCCTGACAGCTGAGCGGGACGCTGCAAAATAAACCCTGACACTCTGACCAATGTAAGGAGAGTTTACTCGCACGTGACTTGTTTTAGCTCTTTTGGTCTGATTAGAAACTTTGCAATGTGAAAGTGAACCGCTCCAAGAGCAAAGAGCAACAATGTAACAATTGTAATCTCTGTTTCGGAACAACTGAATCGATTCACAGGTGTGAAAGCACCCTTAAACTTTCTTAAAAATATTTTTGTGTTCAACAGAATAGAGAAACTCAGAGGTTGAAACCATTTGAGGATGAGTAAATTATTAGTTTTGAGTGAATTATCCCTTTAACTGTACGTTCACACTGAAGGCGGCAAGAGCGTCAAAGTACTGGAAGTCATTCATTTTCAATGGGAGCCGGCGACGGCTTCATCAGTGTGAGTGTTGAGAAGAGTTGAAATCAAGTCAACTTTATAGTAATGAGGTATGACGCGGTTCAGCGGCAAGCAATTGGTATGTAGAAGTCAACCGCTTGAGAGGAGTCCAGAGAACACAGCCCTATGAACATTGGTTCTGACCAGAGTTCCCAAAGTTTTGATTATTGCGGTCACTGGAGTTCCAATTATTTACAATGTTTTCTTACAGGGACTTAAATATAAAAAAAGTTACTGGCGAGTTGCTGATGTGCATTAATGTTATATATGTTTTTTTTAAATGGGAATCTTATGCTAACTAATGACAGTACAAAAAAGTATAGCTGCTTCAGAATATTTCAGACATATGGACATATTGGATATAGTCTATTTCTATGTATAGTTTAGCAAAGCCACAGCACTCGCAACAACAGGATCTTCCGTATAGGTAAATCAATTTCATAAAAGATGCGCAACACTTTCACACTAAAAAGCACATTTTTATGCAGAAATGTTAGTGATTTGCTGATGTGCTGCAACGGCTCCTTTAAATACAAGATCAATGTAGCAAATTTTGATGCTCTCACTGCCGGTGTGGACGCAATTTAGTTCTAAATTTAGGTCTCATATTTCTGATCTTTTTCTTTAAAATTTTCACCTCACATTTGACTTTTTCCTAAAGATTTCTTAATTTAAATCTCACATTAATTCTTAGTTTACATCCCACAATTTTTACCTTGTTTTCTCTACATTTTGACCTTACATGTTAACAGTTCATTTATTAATCTGTTTTTAAATGACTGAAAACTGTTGTTTTATCCCTCCAGACTATCGCATGTAAGCCTCCCACTAGCCAAAATCATTCCCATTATCAACGGACAGATTCATTCAATATGCAGCGAAATTCCAAGCCACTTTGTTCAGGTGAGCACCTTCATATAAACTGACTCTTTTTCATTTAAATCATATATAAGCTTCCCATACACAACTTGTTCCTTCCTGTGTGGCTGTTTTTAGGATCTCCTGTTGATAGACCAGGTAAAAGAATTTGCCGCCAACGTATACGAAACCTTCAGCACCCCTCAGGAACTTCAGAAGTGAGCAAGACATAAAAGCAAAACTCCTAGAAATCTCTCATGCCGTACAGCACAGAATTGCTCTCCTCACGCGCCAAAAAAATCAACCTGGAGTGAAAAAAAAAACTTGAATCAAGTTCTAAGTGTGTGTTAAAGGAGTTCAGATTCACTGTTGTTAGTAGGCATTCAGTTTGGAGTAGCTTTAGCTGACCCCTCTGTATGCTGTGACCCTCTTAACATTGTCCAGGGCATGCCAAGGTTTGTAGTCTATAATAAACTGTAGCACATTATTTATTTATATTTTAATAAAACAAACCCCTTTAGCATAACATTGTCATTAATATCACAAATAAAAAGGAAAACAACTTGTTCACCGGACTCAATTCTGACAGCCTTACATCTGCAGTATGGACTTAAATGGGTGAATTGTGGTCATTTTGTATATTATATCAATATTATACCTGAGGTTGCAGCTTCTGGACCAAAACTCACCTTTGCACCAATAAACTGCTAAGCACATGGATATTTGGGAGCATTTTTGTTTGTATCGACTTTCATTTTGAACGGCTCTACTACTAACTGATGGGAATCATTTGCAAAATGGTACAGTTCGTAGTATGCTCTTCTGTTTTTTTTGTAAAATGACCCATGAATGTTAATGAATAATAATGTGAGTAATATTATCGGAACTATTCATTAAAATGAAACACTGTTTGACTCTAGAGCATGTTGTTTTGGCTTTTATAAATGTGTATAAGTTATTTTAAATTGACCTTCTGCAAGTATACAGTAAAGGTCAAAATTTAAAGAGATTTTAATTTATGCAAGGTGTGGGTTTAGGGGGGTCTGACCCCCTAATTTACGCTTGATCTCTAAAGAACAACAAAACGAGACGTATGGGAGATCTGCCCTTTAAAAGTTAAGAAATAGTTTGCTCTGATCTGTATCTTTAATAATGTTATTAATTAAAATAATAGATAACGTAAATACACATTTGACAACCCTTATAATAGTTCATACCATTGTGAATGCATGTTTGAGCACCAACAGACCAACGTAAGTGAAACATGTTTCTTGTACAATAGGTATTTGTACTGTGTCCAATTAAACTCATAGTTTGTGTTTTATTCTACACTCGCTCGCACATGGAAGGTAAGTGATAAAATAAAAAATACATGTAGTCATGTTATGGTCATCCATTAATAGGTGGAAGAATGCAAACCTGTCACCGTTTATCCCCCCATATTATTTTTATGTATTTACTGTGCAACAAACATTTCTGATTGTAATTGAACTAAGGGATAGTTCACCCAAAACAAATGACCAAGCACATGTTAATTTGGTCAGAAAGACTTACAGTACACTGAAAAAAATTATTCAAAGATGATTCCTTGGATTTACTAAATCTTTTTTTTTTAATGTTAAGTGGTTGTAACCAATTTGTTTGGGCTGAATTTAAACAAAACAAATTAAGTTGAACATTATTAAATTTAATTTGTTTAAATTCAACACAAATAAATTGTTTGCAACAGTTCTGCATGCAACACTTTTTTAGTGTACTTGGCATATATACAAATCTTTCATTTAAACTAATATTTAATAATTAAATTATATTTTAATCGTATAGGATTCATTAAAATATTATATTTGTGCATATACAATAATCAGTACTAAAGCCAAATCTGGAGCTAGTCTTACAAAATAACTTATGATAATAAGTTACAATTTGAGCTACAATTCCAAAAGTAGCTCAAATTTATGTTAGGGAAAAATATGAAATTTTGCAGTTTGTAATTTTTTTTTTTTTTTTTGGCATGAATTTAAATGTATAATCTTTCTATTTCTAAAGATATTCAGTGAATAAAATATTATTTTAATTAATATATTTGTTTATTAAATCTACTTTGTTCAAATGCACCAAAATATATGACCTATATTCACCGAGAAATGGATAAAAAATATTAATTTTCAGAATCATTTATGCTTAGCACTGTCTCTATAATGTTACAAAAGATTTTATTTGAACTAACTGCTGTTATTTTTAACATTTTGAAATCATTGAAGATGAATGGAATGAACCGCCAACATGCAAAATTTACTTGGCAAAAGCCTGCCCTTTCTCCAGCTTACATTTGATATATTATATCTTGACATAGAGCACTGTTTCTCAAGCATGTACCTGGAGCACCACCAGCTCTGTACATTTTACAAAACGCACCTAATTCAGATCATCGGCCCATTACCAGAGACTAAAAAACCTGTAATGGGTATGACAGACAAAGGAGACATCCAAAACATGCTGTGTTGGTGGTCCTCCAGGAACGTGGTTGAGAAACAATAACAGAGGACAGAAATTTTACATTGTTATATTTCACAACGTACAGCTGTTTCCAAACTGTTGTTCCTAAAACAGTATTGAGTTAGGTCAATAGATAATTGCATGTAATTGACATAATTCACTGCTGTTATTAAGCATATATAATTATTATAACGTGTAGCAAGTATAAAAGAGTATTACCGTAAAAGAAAGCATCATCTTCCTTGTAAAGAAAATATCCTGGTTTCCTCTAGAGGGCGGTACATATTTGTAGTTGAGCGTCATGTTCTAATAATAAACGAAACAGTTCGAGTACAGAAATAAAATCAGGAAGAACAGAAGTAATATCTGACAGAAAAAGAGGCAACAAACATGAGGAAAGCATATGACGACTGCTATTACACAAATCAACACCCTTTTAACGCAACTTCCTTATAAAGCCTTTAAAAACCTGACGTTTCAGCATCTTCAAATGAGAGCTTAGGTTGCGATTTACGTAATGTAACGTGGGAGAATCAATTCCTTAACAAAAACTATAATTGTTCACATCACGCCTGCAGAATCTTTTGAATCTATTTGTAACATTTGACAATGATGCATGAAAAAAATTACTATAGTAGAAGAGGCCTGTATTTAATCTGTTGAGGTGATCCTAGTTGCTATGCTATTACAACAACTACAACTAATTGATCTGTTGTGCTAATCCTATTGTGATTGTTGCTATGCTAATACAACAACTATGCCAATAAACTTACCTAATACTGTACTGTATAATATACAAATGTTGGGTATTATACTTGGGGGTGGATTTAACCAATAAGCAAGGTGGCTGCTTAGGCCCCAGGAAATTTGCGGTCCCCAAATAAATACCTATAAGTATTACTAAGTATGATAGAGAAAAGTATGATACTATAAATTATATATAACATTGTTTTCTATATTTTGTTTGGCCAGTGTCTAAAAATTTTAATTTGAATGTAATTATTACATCTGCGCAAATGTGTTCCCCACCCTCAATCATGGACCAGTCTAGCAGTCAAATCAGTAAAGATTTATCATTTATTACGTTTAATTGTGAATTCAACTTAAGAAAACAAATCGTTTTAAAGGTTTTACAAGGTGCTTTACATGTTATTGTTATTATTTTGCATTAAGATAAAAAAGATTAAATGTAGAAAACAAGATCGAATGATATAAGAAACAAGCAGCAAAATAATAATGATAAAATTAAAAAACAAAAGGTGCATTTTAAAACTTTTGGGCCCCTTGGGTGGAATTGATTAGGGTCCCTAATTCTACTGCAATACACAACCGTTTTCTGTAGTTTCAAAAGATAAAGTATAGCAGTATTTATTCCAGTTTGTCAGTTTACTTTAGTTAATATTACAATATGATGCAGCATTCATTAAAGTGGTGGAAATGTATTATACAGCATAAAACACTTAACTAGTACGGTTAAAAGTACTGTAGTGTTCACTATAAATTACTTTATGACTTTATAATGAAAAAAAGTCAACAATTCAAAAGATTAAGATAGTAAAAATGTTTTAATGTTTTTGAAAATAAGACATTTATTATTCTGATCGATTGTTTTTTTCTGAAGAGAGTTCTTAATGCCCAATGATTATTTAAAGAGTTTAGAATAGATGCAAAAACCTCTAAATGCCTCTAAGCATTTTTACCAGGCTCCTGTGTGTATGTTCAGTAATATCACTTTAAGGATAAGTCAAAAGCAAAAGAGGCTGAGAAAAATGTTCATTTTCGATGGAAATTTCAGGCGGAACATAGAGGTTTTTGCATCTAAACTTTTCATATTTACATTTACATTTTATGCACATTCTTTATTTAACATCTTGAAGAAATGTTATCATACTAAATCCCTTACGATGCTTTTTAGAGTTGTCTTTTATTACAAAATGAGTATTCTATAATATAATGTAAACTCACACATTGTTAAATCAGCAATTACAATATTATTGTAGATGATACTTTGTGTGGACACACAGCAGAAGTTGTTTTGTTAAGATTTTGTTGAAAGAAAAACCTGAGCATTCCACTGTATTGACAAAACCCCCGAGACATTTCCACAGAAGAAATAAGCAATTACAAAGCAGTTTGTAACCTTTAGTTACTAAATAGTTCCTTTCGTTACTTAACTTTTCAGATGAAATCATTAAATATGTCAAATACAATCAAAGGTACTGTTCACCCAAAAGTTAAAACTCTGTCATCGTTTACTCACCCTTCACTTGTTTTAAGCCTAATTGAGTTTTCTTGTTCTGTTAAACAGAAGGAAGATATACTGAAAATATAAAGTTCCATAACATGTTTTGTTCCTACAATGGATATCAATGTCTGCTTTTTTCCAACATTCTTCAGAAAATCTTGTTTTGTGTTCATTGAATGAAATAAATTTATAAATGTTTAGAACCACTTGAGTGTGAACAAATGGTGAAGAAATTGTTGTTTTGGGGTGAAATATCCCTTTAATTTTTCTATATAAATGCTTTAGTGTTTACAAATGGAAATGAACACACAGTGCATCCGGAAAGTATTCACAGCGCTTCAATTTTTCCACATTTTTTGTGTTACAACCTTATTCCAAAATGAATTGAATTCATTGATTTCCTCAAAATTCTTCACACAATACCCCATAATGACAATGTGAGAAAATTTTTTTTTAAATTGTTGCTAATTTATTCAAAATAAAAAAAACCTGTAAAATCACATGTACATACGTATTCACAGCCTTTGCTCAATACTTTATTGATGCACCTTTGGCAGCAAAAACAGCCTCAAGTCTTTTTGATATGATGCTACAAGCTTGGCACACCTGTCTTTGGGATTTTTTGCCCATTCCTCTTTGAAGTGCCTCTCAAGCTCTATCAGGTTGGATGGGAAGCGACGGTGTACAGCCATTTTAAGATCTCTTTAGAGATGATCAATAGGATTTAGGTCTGGGCTCTGGCTGGGCCACTCAAGGACATTCACCGGAGTTGTTGTGAAGCCACTCCACTGATATTTTTGCCGGCGTGCTTTGGGTCAGTGGAAACAGTATGTAACTGAGCTCAATTTGGAGCTTCATGGCAAAGGCTGTGAATACTTATGTACACGTGATTTTTTCCGTTTTTTTATTTTTAATAAATTTGCACTTTTTCACCTTGTGATTATGGGATATTGTGTGTAGAATTTTGAGGAAATAAATCCATTTAATCCATTTTTGAATAAGGCTGTACATTTAAAAAAAAATGTGGAAAAGGTGAAGCGCTGTGAATACTTTCCGTATGCACTGTACTGTATGACTGCTATAAGCTGTTATACTGTTTGAATATTTGAGGTCAGATGTTTGTTGCTTTGTGTGCAGTAGGACCAGTGGGTGACACGTGGAGGCTCATCCTGGATGGG